CTTTCCCTCCTTCTCTCCTTCCTTCCTTCTCATTCCCATCTCTTTCCTTCCTTTTCTCCTTCCTTCCTTTCCTCTCCTTCCTTCTTTCGCATTCCCATCTCCTTCTTTCCTTCTCCTCCATGGTTGACAACCAACGTGGTATTTTCATATAAATCCCTTATTATTATTTTTTTTAAAAAAAGGCCCTAAAGCAGAGGTCTCCAATCTTGGCAACTTTTAAGACTTGTTGGACTTCAACTCCCAGAGTTCCTCAGCCAGCCGTGTCTGTTTATTTTTTTCCCCCGTCTCCCGAAAAGGAAGAGATTTCAGAGGAAGGGATTGCAAGAGTAAGTAAGCTATGCCGGTTGAGGAACTCTGGTGGGAGTCGGAGTCCAGACGCCTGAAAGTTGCTAAGGTTGGGGACCCCCGCCCTAAAGCACCCACCCTTCCTTGTGCTTACCTGAGCCAGGTACTCCAAGCCAGGTGGGATACTAGCCGACACAGGCAGGTAAGGGGTAATGGCCGCGTGGGGATCGCTGGGCTGCGGGTGTTGTGGGGAAGCGGAGTGGTCGTGGTATCCTCGGGGGGGCGGTTGGGGGGCAGCCACGTAGCCGGGTCCGGGACTGGCGGCGGGGTAGACGTTGAATCCAGCGCTGGGTGCAGAGGGCCCGGCGTGTGGCGGCACGACGGGGTAAGGCTGAGGAGCCACTGGGTATCCTGGCTGTGGAACATGGTACCCTGGGGAAGAGGACAAAGGGAAATAAAAAAACTCGATCCCGGAAAAACTTGGCCACTTTTTTTTAGCTGCCAACAGTGGCAAGTTAACAGAATAATATGAAGAGCCCAAAAGGACCTCGGAGGTCATCCAGTCCAACCCCCTGCTCAAGCAGGTGACGCTTACAGAATCACAGGAGTTGGAAGGGACCTTGGAGGTCATCCAGTCCAACCCCCTGTTCAAGTAGGAGACCGTGTTCCATTCCAGACAAACGGCTCTCCAATTCCTTTTTAAAAAACCTCTAGGGATGGGAGCCCCCCACAACTTCTTGGAGGCAGTTTCCAAACGGCATGGATGGAGCATGGGCAACGTAGTCCTGGAAAAGGGCGGCTTGCTTTGCTCGTCGAAAAGGTCGCCAAAGGGGTATCACAGGACACCGTAACTGTCATACCTATGAGGCAGTTGCCGAGCCTTTTGTTATTGTGACCGTATGGATGCTGCCAGCGGTCATTAAGACTGAAAAACGGTCGTAAGTCACTTTTTCCGTGCCGTTGTACCTTCCGGCCACGGAACGAACCTGTCGCGAAAGAAATGACGAGCGGCATTATCACACGTTCGGGACTCCCAAGAGACCCATTCAAAGCTCATTTCCTTTTTATTCGTTCAGCAAGTTTCTTGATTTATTCGGCAAGGCCCCAGGGCAGCTTGCCAACTTTAAAAATAAAAAAAAATCCATCATGTCATAAAACTCATTGCAAAAATAAATAAATAAATAAAGGCTAAGATCTCGTCACCTGGGGGGGTTGTTGGGAATGATGTTCCACAGGGGTGACAGCCGCCAAGTTGCATCAGAGAAAGGGGAGGGGTTCACTCTGCCCCCCCCGTCCCCAACCTAACCTGCCCAGGTGCATTCCAGCCACGCCCTCCATCTGCCCCCTCCAGGCTTTGCCCCGCCGGCTTCTTCGCCTGGTGGAGACAGGAACACAGGAGCGCCTGCATCATCGTCACGGCCACCTCCAGTTTCTGGGACTCGCCTGTTCCTGCAGGCATACGGGTTTAATCAGATTAGAGTGGGAAGGGACCTTGGAGGTCTTCTAGTCCAGCCCCTATGTTCAATGCCCCTATGCCATTTCAGACAAGTGGCTGTCATAATCTCTTCAGTGATGGAGCACCCACAAATTCCTCCTTAGTTGCAGGTTGCTTCTCTCCTTGGTTCGTTTCCATCCGTTATTTCTTTTCCTGCCTTCTTTGGTGCCTTGGAAAAATAAGTGCCCCCGCCACCTCTTCCTTGGGGCAGCCCCTCAAATACTGGAGGACTGCTATCCTGTCCACCCTCGTCTTTCTTTTCTCCAGACAAGCCAAAACCCAGTTCCTACAACCCCTTGTGTGTCTTGCACCCCAGGCCTTTAATCCCCTTCGTTGCTCTTCTCTGCGCTTTTTCCGAAAGTCCCAACCTCTTGTTTGTCGTTGGTGGTGACCAAAACGGGTCGCAGGGTTCCAAGTGTGGCCTTACTAGGGCTTTACAAAGCGGTGCTAAATCCTTCACCTGGTTTTAATTCTGTGTTTCTCCCCTATGCAACCCAGGAGTTGTACTGGCTTTTTGGGCTGCGGCCGCACCCAGCTGACTCACGGTTCAAGGGATCATCCGACTAGGACTCCCAAGGTCCATCTCACCGCACCTGTTTGGAAGCCAAGTTTCGCTCAATGCTTGCACGAAAAGGCAGCCGGATGGGCAGAAGGGCAACCATTTCTGGGAAGCAGGCATCAAAGGGATATTTTTTTTATTTTTATTATTATTATTATTGGTAAATCTTTAGTGAGATTCACAGCTTTGGGGGCTGGTTGGTAGCTCAACAGCTCGAGTCCTAACCAAGGACCTAGGAACTGTTTTTATTTTTATTTTTCTTCTCCTCATTATTACTATTCTTTTCCTCCTCCTGATTCCCCTTCTTCTCATTATTCCTATTACTATTCTTCTACTCGTTATTATTCCTCTTCTTCTTCCCGTTATTACTATTACTATTATTCCTCTTCTTCTTCTCCTTATTCCTCTTATTATTCTTATTCTTTATTATTACTATTCTTCTCCTCTTCATTATTCCTCTTATTATTAATTATTATTATTATTATTATTATTATTAATTATTATTATTATTATTATTATTATTATTATTATTCTCCTCCTCCTTCTTCCTCCTCCTCCTCTCCTTCCTCCTCCTCCTCCTCCTCCTCCTCCTCCTCCTCCTCCTCCTCCTCCTCCTCCTCCT